TCAGTGGAGTATAATGACACTTTCAAGAACCCCAGCTGGTTATGGTGCACTGCATTTCCTGAACTTCTTCTGATTCTGGCACTGGATAGGTTGAAATGGTTTACTGAAAGAATAACCATTTTACCATTTTACAAAAAAATACTTGGAGTGAAGGATATTCTGCTCAAGCCATTCACAGCAAGTGACTTCCTATCATAAACCAATCATAAATCCCGGAGATGCTGTGTGATGCCTAGGCATGTCATGAATCCATTTCCTAATGGGTAGACTGACGGCCTAGTTGTGAGCAGGACAAGTGCCCGTGTGTGGAGTTGTGCCCACTAATGAATCCAGGTTTTACTCAAATTCATCCAAAATTTTATCATGAATAGGTTAAAGTATACCATTTTTCATCAGCTTACACCAATTCCTCTGAACAGATATTCAAGCTATATATATATCCAAAAAATATTTCCTAAACAAAGTGCTATCTCTTTATCATTTCAAGTGACAGAACTATCACCTTATCATCAGATGACGTTCTTGCAAACTATCTTAGTAAAATCCTTACAGCATGAGTAATCTTTTGCCACAACAGTATGTAATCGATAAACAAATCAAATAATTTAGAGCTGTACTGAGGATATATGATATAATCTCTAAATATAATTCTATGTAAAGTTTGGGAGAGGTCACACAACTTTTGCTATCCTCTCCTCCTGACACCCCCGTATATAAATCATAAAAACATATCAGAACAAAAGATCATGAACAATACAATCTACCATACAGAGTAGTTCCAAGAACTTGTGAAAACTTGTATTTGATAAAAACGTATTAGATTCTGACAGACTTCCAAAAGATCTAATTAACTATTCTTATCTATAGAGAAAGTATTTCAATCTAAACTATTTACGTGGCAATCGTGTCAGCATGAATGTCACGTTCCCCTTACCACAGCACTGAGGTATGGAGAACAAACCTCTAACTTGTTTTTCTTTACCTTTTACTTTTTATCAATTTCTCCCTCAAAACTGGATTTTACATATATCTTAAAGAACCTTTAGGCTTCAAGACCTGATGTGATACCTTGATAGTTGGCAAAAATTTATAATTTAATTATTAAGAGGAATAACAACAAAATGTAACTCAAGTCTGTGCTTTAAATATGAGAAATAAGTAAAAATAAATCATAGCAATGTTGCTCAAAGATCCATAACTGTGATTATTGTTTCAAAAATCTAAAATATACCAACACATATGACATAAAGAACACAAAACCAGGAATACATACACAAATATAAAAGAAACAGTGCTAAAAAAAAGATGATTCAAACCCGGCCAACTATTCCTCATATGACATAGTAAAAACCTACAAGAGTTAGAGAACATTTTAGTTGTTACTACATCCGATGAGGAATCTCTTAACAGATTGAATCATTGCTTTCCTAATGTTAATGCTGTGGCACTGTTTCTTTTTACAGAGCACAGCACACTACAAAAATCTTCTATTTCCGGTTAATAATGACTTACTGACATCAATGTTTCCTTTAAACAAGGCAAATATACAAGAAATTTTAACTTTAATAGCTGACTGAATATTGGGAAACTATCATATAAAAATTTTATGATTTTCACCATGTTAAATGAGTCTGGGAGCAGAGGACGCAAGACAACTGGTCAGTAAATTACACATCCAATTCCGACAACCACTCCATAGGTCTCACAAACCCAAACACCAGCTATACACTCTAATAATGTGGAACTGTACAGTAAGAATCTCTTAAATGGTCAGGGAAACTTTTAAAAATAGAATCTCTTGAATGGACAGGGACACTTTTAATGAAAAGTAAGAATCTCTTGAATGGACATGGAAATTTTTATTAAAATATTGATTATGACCAGGTTGCCGATACCTATATATACATGGAAATAACAACTTTTATACCTACATCTTTATTGGATTGTATTTAGCCACATCTAGTTCCGTATTTGCATAATATTTTGCCAAAACAGACATACCAGAAAAATATGCATTTTGCAAACTTCGCTGTGCATTCCTATCATTCATACTTGCCACCATAAATTATTTAAAATAAACACTCAATCTTATCTCTATGCAAATATGATGACTCTTGCACTCGGTACATTGATTGTCTTCTTTGTTTTTCAAAATGATAGGCTTAATCTAGTTCATAACAATTTTTCTTAAGATCTTACTAACATAACTTTTGCAGTTTACTTTCCTTTAGGGACTTCTGAAACATGATTTGCATTTTTATTTGTTCAGATTAATCTCTGTCACAACTACCAATAAAAAATAAATAAAATAAAAAAATAAAAAAAGCATTCTCTAATATCAATTACTTGTTTGTTCAGATTTTCTTGATATTCACTGACTTTCACTTCGTAGGTGGGACTTGAATCCCTTTTAGTATTTTCGTGTCACTACTTGCAGAATTAATTTCTTTGTTTTCTTTTTCTTTATCACACTTTTATTGTCAAACCTGACATTCCTTTCCTGTTCTTTGTAACTCCTTCTGGTTTTAAAATCATGAGGAACTTTAGACTGTCAGTAAAATGTAAAAGTAATTTCTATCAAACAATTCAGGAATATGAAGTGAAACCATACAAACACAGAAAGGATGAAAAAAGAAAGAAAAGAAAAAAATATAATTAAATACATGACTACATATAATACAGGCACACATACACTTAAAACCGGTATTCAAGTTCATACAATATCTTTCAAAGTGTCTCCATATAACAATGCTAAAACTCATTTCAATGATGACATTTATTTCTGAAACATTGCTGTCACTCGCAAAACAGAGCATAACTGCAGAGGTTTTAAGATGATATCACCCGACAAATGCAAGAAGAAAGAAAAGTGTTCCCATTCAATCCATTTCATTGAACCTTCAAGAATCTATCAAGTAGTTTTCAAATATATCATACTTGATGCCTCTAAACACTTGTATCATGTCTCTGTCTCTATCTATTACCAAGTAAATGTTACAACCTTATTCAGAATGCCCCGTCTACACCTGTCTCAATGAAAATATGTAGCAGGAATTAAATGGAATTATTAAATCAATGGAATGTTTCATCTGTCAAGTCACATGATCAGTTATCTAGATCATCTTTCACCCTCGTGAGCCTGAGATCTATTGATTCATGTAAACAGGATCAGAAATACACATAAACAGAATGAAAGAACATCTAAATTGCACGAAAAGACATCTAAATACATAACAAATGCACTGATAAACTTAATAAAAAGAGGGTTTGCTGTTCAACATTTCTCTATGTGCAATTGCGTAATACATTCCACTCTTCATTAATATCATTCTACCCCTTTGAGTGTCCTTAATTCACACTCTACAAGAGGGCACGATGTCAAACAAGGGATAATCCAGATCCATAAGAAAATAGAGACCATGATTTTAATTGATATTCGCGACTCGACAACTCGAGAAAGAGCAGACGACATCAGCTGACTCATATGACAGCTTCCCAAACCATGTAAACAACTCTATTTTCTCGCTCATTTCCACATAACACACAACTTATCACCCACTCACGATATTCACCATATATTCATACACGTCTTGGACTAATTTTGACCTAGGTAATTATGCCTAGGTGTTAATAATTACCGATTTTCTGGCCCACAGGCGTCGCAAACGGGTTGCCTCCAAAGAACGACATTTTGAAGTGTGACGTCACTGCCTCATTCACTCTTAATGAAATTTTTGAAATACTTTTTTTCGTCTTGTTCTCTTTCAATATATGTAGTGTCTCCGCTGTCGATCCAAAGCCAAAGAAATGAGCGAATGAATCTCCGTGTCTGCTTTACTGTAATATCATAGTAATATGATATATTTACTTGCGATATATATTTCCGGAAACTTTCACTGGTGTTGCCATTTCGCAATTTGTAAAGGTTATTTACGCATGACTAAAACACGTTCTGATAGCCTTGTACAATGGACGACTGACTGCACTTTAAATACTTACCGAAAAAGTCTATCATGCTGTAAACCTGCTCGTCTGTCTCTTTGGCTGTCAGTTTGTCTGTTTCAATCTGTCTCCTTGGCTGTCAGTTTGTCTGTGTGTATCTTTCTCTGTCTGTCTGTCTCTCTCTCTCCTCTTTGTATATATATATATATATATATATATATATATATATATATATATATATATATATATATATACACACATACACACACACACACACACACACACACACATATATATATATATATATATATATATATATATATATATATATATATATATATGTATGTATGTATATGTATATATATATATATATATATATATATGTACACATTTATACGTATATGTACTCATACACACACACACACACACACACACACACACACACACATACATATATATATATATATATGTGTGTGTGTGTGTGTGTGTGTGTGTGTGTGTGTGTGTGTGTGTGTGTGTGTGTGTGTGTGTGTGTGTGTGTGTGTGTGGTGTGTGTGTTGTGTGTGTGTGTGTGTGTGTGTGTGTGTGTGTGTGTTGTGTGTGTGTCTGTATGTGTGTGTTACCTGTTGTGTTCCTGTTGCAGGAATCTCATATCAATCATCCCTCGATAAGGATGCTTACATCTCTTCAGTTAGTGATTTATTAACTAAAGTAGGGTTTCTCGAAACTGCGTATATTATATCCTGATATCTTATGACTATTTATGCTGCTATCTTCGTGAAATATGCGTCATCCTTGTTTCTCATTCATTTATCTTAACTTCACTCGTACATCTCATTCACATAATTTTTGTTTTGAGCGTTCGCAGCAACTAATAAGATCTTAATGCCTATTGAGCAATTAAATATGATCGATGAATGCTTCATTTATTTCCAACAATAAATACCACATCCTTATAGCGTATGTAAGTGTTTCGTTCAAGGAGCATGTATATATAGTCGCCCAACCGGCGTGCTAACATCCGTAACGATAAGGACTTAGTGCAAAGGCTTCAGTAATTTCTTTTTAAATATTTATTTCAACTTACAAACATCATGAGACAAGAAATGTCAAAGTTGATATAATAATTCACAACCGCATATCTTCATAAGGATACACGAATAATATATAAACGATCTGTATTTAAAATTAAAGTTTTTTTGTTCTTTTTTTCGATCAGTATGCGTCACAGTCACCGCTGGTTCACAGGTGGTATGCATCAGTTTGTCAGCATCAGTCACGCGGTTCCTGTTGCTGCTTATGTGGTTGATGAGAAGACAAATTCTGTAAATTATATAAATACAGTGATTGAAAACCATGTAAGAATTATAGATCTGTAAATCTTCAGTGCATGGGTGTGTATGTAAACATCCACACCCTTATAGACAGTGCATGTTTATATATAGAATGTACTTCTCTCTCTCTCTCTCTCTCTCTCTCTCTCTCTCTCTCTCTCGCCTCCTTTTTTTCTCTTTACTTCCTCCTCTCTATGTCTCTCTCTCGGCTCTTTTTTTTTCTCTCTATCGCCTCCTTCTCTCTTAGTTTCTCTCTCTCTCCCTACATTCCGTCCGTCTGTCTGTCTGTCTGTCTGTCTCGCCTTTCTTTTTTCTCTCTTGCCTCTCTTTTCTCTCTCTCGACTCTTTTCTCTCTCTCTTCGACTCTTCTCTCTCTCTTCGCCTCTCTTTTCTCTCTCTCTTGCGCTTCTCTCTCTCTCTCTCTTTTCTCTCTCTCTTGCGCCTCTCTTTTCCTCTCTCTCTTGCGCCTCTCTTTTCTCCTCTCTCCTCTCTTTTCTCTCTCTCTCTTGCGCCTCTCTTTTCTCTCCCTCGCCTCCCTTTTCTCTCTCTCGCCTCCTTCTCTCTTATTTTCTTTCTCTCTCCCTACTTTCTCTTTGTCTGTCTGTTTGCCTCTCTCTCTCTTTTCCCTCTCTCTTCTCGTTGTCTGTCTGTCTGTCTGTCTGTCTGTCTGTCTGTCTCTCTCACACGCTCCCTACCTCTCCTCTCCCTTCCTCTCTCTGCTCAAGGAAATTCACGAATGCCCCTACCTGTTAGTCATGCAGAAGCGGCATGGCGTCGTACACAAGCTGTCTCTGTCTCGCCGTGAGGGTCGTAATTTCCTCCACTCGACTGCGATGTCTCGCCCACTCAATCCTGCGAAAAGGGAAGTCAAGCAAGGAAATTAATTAATTTCAGGAATGAGAGCTTCGTTGATAGAATTCACGGGAGTCTGACTTATTTTCCCGCAGTCTATATTCCTAGATTCTAGGTACACGATGATGACAAAATTCGTCAGCTGATTCATACTATCTGAATTAAATTAATGCGTTGTTTACATGTTGTCGATTATCTACTTGGTATTACA